GATTGAAGGAGCAGCGTCCGGCGTCGCCATTTTGGCAAACTGCCGTGCTTCGCAGCAATTTGCGACATACGATCAACTAGGACACACGCGGAGGCATCAGGACTGATGACATCATGAGTTCTTACAAATGAGGGAGAGGAGGCTGCCATCAGATCCCTATTGCGCCCGAGCGGATCAGCGTCCATGAGTTGTTTCATGATAACCAATGGCGTTGCCGCAATCCAACTAATGAGTTGATGTCCATCAGAGCGCGCCACTGCACAAGTTCAGTATCGCCAAACCGCCTTCACCCATTGATCGCAATTTCTAAGCACGGAAACTCTTGAAACGCCATCAAGCCATAGCGGATCGGCGCTGTCCCATGCGCCCCTCGATTTTGCATCCAGACAATCCGCATTTCAATAACAAGTCTACAAGTTGTTCCGAATCTGTGTTATAGCACAGATTCGGAACAACTTGAGTTAATTAACTAGCTAGGGGATCTCTGCGTTGCTCTTGCACTGCTCTAAAATGGTTCATTCAGAATTGAAGCAAATCACTTGGCCGCCAGGATTTCTCACACAGCGCTTGAGAAGGCGAATTCTGCTTTGTAAAGCAGCTCCAGAGAGAATTATCGCGCACAGTATGCCAGGGAGAACGTGATTACCTAACCTCGTAATGGTCTGCGTGTCTGGGAGCGAGGAGGCAGCGACGGCAGCACCCTTACAGCAATCACGCACCCCTTACTTAAAGCATGTCAGGGGCGGGCGCGCGGCAACTGCAACCCCCTCGGTGCCCTCCCCTGCGTCCCGTCGCACCCCCGCCCCACCACGGGACTGCTCGTCGAGGGGGAAAAGCTCCGGAATGGCATCGCGATCCCCGTTTGCTTCACCGCCATCAAGAAATGAACAAACGTTGATCCTCGTTTGCCTCACGCCGCGGACATCGAATGATCAAAAAATGAATTTGCAAATTCATGTAATTAGCAAATTTATCTAATTAAATGAACATCAAATGAACAAGTGGGTCCAACCATTTAGTGAAATTAAGTTTAATGGCTCAGTGAATGTAATAAATCAATGAATTTAATTGAACGAATGAACACAATGGATCCAATGATCGAATGAGCAAGCGCATCTCGCTCACGGCGCACAGTCGTGAGCCTTCCTCGTAGCTCCGCGATGTGCGTCCGATTATGGTACTCCACCTCCCCGCAGCTTCCGTTGATGGGCACCTCGGCCACCGCTGTAGTGGATCGCCGGCACCACCGCGATAAATGCGGCCTCCTAGGAGACCCAGGCCTGGGTCTCGGCGTGGCGCCGTCCACCCCCGCCACAGAATCGCCTGTCCGAAAAGGAGGCCGTCGGTGGCGGGTTGGAGCCGCCGGAGTGGCCTTGCGACAGTCAGGTGGGGAATGGGCACACACAAAGAGGCGCAGGGGCGTCTCGCGGGCGCAAAATTTGGCCCGTGAGCCGCCATGGTTTTCTGTCCGTGGCTGCCCCTCGGTGGCCACGGGGGGTCGCGGTCATTGGCCTCGAGGAACGGGCACGCACATCGAGGCCCCGTGCGAGCCCCGCCGGCGCGAAATTTTGGCTTCACGGGCGTGACCCTCGTGTGGTGCGTCCGCGCCAAAAGGGGGAACGATGTCGGCTGTGTTGGCGTTGGGCGGGCGGCGCGCCCGCCTGGGGCCCCTTGCCGTTCGGGGCGCCCGCCTCTGGGGCTGAAGGCCTGTGTTTAGAATTGACGAAGGCGGAGACAAAAAGCGGGAAAGACGAAGATGGCGAGACAGGGCGTGGTGGCTTTGCGCCCCGGGAGGTGTTCCGATGTTGTTGTTGGACGAGGCCGCCTGGGCCGGACGTCGCGGGGGTGCGCCGCTCTGGACGGCCGTCCCGGCGAGCGGACACGAAATCTCGCGGATCGAGGTCCCAGGCGGCGTGACATGTCGATTGACATGAATTCGATTGGGGTGGATTCGATCGGCGTGGGGACGATGTTGTTGGGGGTGGGGAGATCCATGGCGATCCGTTGCGGCGCATGGCCCCGAGGCGGGCGCCGGGATTCGGGCGCCAAGCTCGGAACTCTGCGTCGCCATGTCGATCGCGATCCGCAGGGATTGCGGCATGGGACGGCGAGCGGATTCGAATGAATCTCCCCGACGCTGGGACTTCAACGAATCTGCATGAATCCGCATGGGGGAAGCGGGGGGTCGCCGTGCGCGATCATCGCAATCGGCGGCGTGTCCAAGCAGAGGGGCGTGGGCGCGCACAGCAACGGGCCATCGGCGCATTCCATCGGCGCAAGTATTGCAGTACTTTGTGAGCGAGCAGGCGGCTCCCCCGGTGTCCAGGGCGTTCTCTTCTACTACGCTTCGAAACGACTCCGGCATGCCCGTTCGGAAGCGAGGCGCTGGCCGGCCTCCTCATGGGTCTGCGGAACATCGAAACATCATTTTCATCCAAAAGAATCATTAAAACATCATTCAAACACCATTGAGACATTCGCTGAAACATTCATTATTCTTAGATTGTCTTGGCATGGGCATCGTCGCATTGGCATCGTTAGGCATTTGTATTTATGCGGAGGTTTGCTCTGAGTTCGTTACGCGCAGAGCAATGGCGACCGACCCTCTTCGCCAATTAGCTGCGGTCACGTGGGGTCTCCTCAGAAGGATGTCGACACGCTGATTGCCAAAATCTGGACAGATGAAAGAGCCTGGGCTGGACTGGCTGAAGCAATGGCCCACCCCGAGGCCGCCAGCGTCCCATGATGCAAGAAAAATTCGGCCTAAATACGCGTACGAAAATCACGTAAAACCGTGCCAAAGCATGCAAAAGTCGTGTACACTCACTCATCGTTACTACATGGTTTGCTCCTATTTTTTTACGATAAATAGGGAATTTAGCACTAACTTCACGCGATTTTCTGTGAACGGTATGCGATTTTCAGAACCATGTAATTTGGCCTATTTTTTACGAGTGTGATTCGCGGCGACAAGTCTCAGCCACGGTTGTCGCACGTACATGCGTCTCAAAATGCGATTGGCGGAGCCGTCAAAATTGGATAATTTGCGCAAATTTGTGTTCCGCAAAGTGCCTGCGCCGATCGGTGCTGAATTGCCTGAATTGGCGAGCAGTGCAAACCAAGTTGAGAATCAACACAATTGCGCATTCCTAACCCTAAGTTGGGCGCCAATTTTCAGCAAGGTTGAATGGAAGCTGACCCAATGGCCGTCTGTGACTTCAGATTCCAGGAATCCAAGAAAGGCCGGATTTTATTCCGCCAAAAACCACAGAACCAAAATTTGGTTTTAATTTTGGTTGAAATTTGGTTTTGATCTCTCGAGATTTGATCTTGAGAGCGGTGGGGTTGCCGGGAAAGCCGTCGGGGTGTCGAAATGGCGAGGCTTTCCGTGCTGGCGCCGGTGGCTGCCGCCTTGGTGGTGTGCCTCCTGGCCGCCGCGGCTCAGGCCTCCTCGGCAGCGAGGTGGGTATCGCGACGAGCGGGAGTTCATCCTCCTATTCCTTGTGTGAATGTCGAATGTAGTGTTCAACAGATGCGCTTGCAAGATTCTTGTTCTTTTTCTTCATGGACTTCTTCACTTTCTAGCGGCAAGGGGTGATGATGGGCTGCAGTCTTTGCATTCGCGTGTCAAAATCAGCGCAAAAAATTTTGGGATGATGTGCTGGAATGTGTGAAATGCGCAATGGACGATGCCTTGGGGTGAATGCGAAGTGCAGGATGTAATATGGAAGTATCGGAGCGGTAAATTGGACGGTGAATGCCTTTCGATGGGATTGAGAAATGCATGAATGCCATGCCGTAAAGCCGTGTTTGGCTTTTCCTCTTCCTTGCCACAGGGCTGTCAAGGCGATTAGGACCTATGGAGGCGAAGGCCATGACCTGCAGGCGGAAGGTACCAGTTGACATGTTCCATGCCTGCAGGGAAATCCCTGCGTTGCTTCTTCCCGGCGCGTTCCTCCATGTACATGACAACTGCACTTGAACTGGGATTCCTCAGAAGAGTTATGCTTTATTTTTCACACTTTTTATTTCTTTGTGTTACTTTCAGGATTGAAGGCCGCGAGGAGCTTGCTCCGAGCCAAACCCAACAAGGTAAGGCCTTTGGGTTAGGTTAGGTTAATTCAGGTTAGCCCTTAAATGCCTTTGAACCCTGAAGGCATTTTGATGCACTGCATGCGTCGACTATAATTTTAGTGTCCAGGCAGGGCATTGCATTCAAAATTTTCAATCAGAAACACGTCGCCCATTCCCTGCATCTTTATATATTGATATTATATATATTATATATTGGTATCTATATCGATATTATATATATATATATATATAGTGATTTCCAACGAAATGGAGGAAACTGCGTCCCCATTTGTTCACCAACCTCCCCATGGGCCTGCCGATAGACTGCACCTTGGCAATTGTAGTTACAATTGCTATAGCAACAGAATGGCGCATTGTCGCCGCCACCCATTCATAAAACATTCCTTCTCATCGTTCACAAACAGAAGACGTGCACAGTGCAGATTTGCATTGTGTCTGGATGCAATCAACGACAGTTAATATTGGTGAATCAGTATCAGACAATACTGAACGTCATTACTGCCAGTACTGAGTGCCAATACTGTGTACTCAAAGTGGACACAAATAGTGCGTCAATGGATCATGTAGGCCTTCCTTCCTGCGCAGATGTTCTTCACCATCCATTTGTGCACCACCCCCTTCCAAACATTGACAGCAAAATATTACATCAGATGCAAAAACTGCCAGTGAAGATGAATATTGAGGATACAAGACATATCAATGAAAATCACATCAATGAAAGTTATATCAGTAAATTGATTGATGAAATTATGCCAGTACAAAGAAAAGTATACCAGTAAATAATGAAAACTATCAGAAATTAATGAAAAGCATATCAATAAAATTGATTGATGATTCAGTATCCAATTCTGCTCAATTTGACCATTTCGGTGTCCCTTCCTGTGCAGTTGCTATTCAGGGCCGCCATGAATGGCGACGTGGACCTTCTGCGGATGGCCATAGACCGCGGCGCTGACATCGACACCAAATTCACGCGGGCCCGAGGGACCGCCCTCGTGGCGGCCGCCGCCATGGGCAACATGGAGGTGGCGCGAACCTTGATCGAAGCCGGAGCAAACGTGGACGCCATGGACAAAGATGGGTACAGCCCGTTTGCCCTCGCAGTGCTTAATGGGGATCTCGAAATGGTGATGATGTTCCTGGACGCCGGGGCCACGCCCCGCCGCGTGGAGGGGTCTAAATACGGTGACTATGGTTATGGTTATGATTACGAATACGATGACGAGATGGGAGTATACGATTACGAGGATGACGTAACGGTGCCGACACTGTCCTTAGTTTCGGACTACGTGGAAGACGTCATGGGTGCTGATGACGTCAGATACGTCGATGACGTCAGGAGCGTTGATGATGCGCCGGCGGTGGCTGGGATGGCGGGGAGGCAGGGAGGCGATATGATATCGAGGGCCATGGAGCTCATTTCCTCCATGACACCCGTGGATATGGTGAGGTCCAAAACAGTTGTCCATTTTGTATTAAAATTAAAACTATTAGTATCTAAATATTATAATTATTCGGAAAGTATCAAAATACCCAAATTAATGCCCATTTTGTATTAACAGAGCTCATTCTCAGTATTGCTTTCGAGTACTGTTTTCGAGCTGTTGGATATATGCATAAAACGCCGCCCAGTGCGCTCTTCGCGGCGCTTTCCACAGCCGATCACGTCGACATGGTTGGCAAAATAACGATAAAGATAAATTAGCGGAGTATTTCGAAAAAATTGAAACAAAATCGCGAACAAAAACACGAAGAAAGGAATGTATGTACGCACAAAACGTTGCTGAAGAATCGATGGAAAGGCATTGTTCCACATTTAGCAGTAAATTTTCAATAACTCTCGCACTAAGTCAGTATTCTATATTTAGCAGCTTATAATCTATCGACAATTCAATATTCAGTATTTTGTATTTCAGCAGTATTCAATATTCTACAGTAATTCTTGTTCGACGGATTGTGTCTCTCGAAACGCAGGTGACGATGTTGGGAGAACCGAACCCTGAGGCCCCCGTTGTGGGCGGCGGCGTGCGCACATGGAAGATGCCGAGGGGCGCCAATGCCGTCAGCGCAATTGCCAATGACGTCAGCGCCGACGGCGAGGGAGAGTGGGTGTCCGCAGAGCCTTGGACTGGAACTACGATCCTGGAGGATGAACTCCCCGCGAAGGCGGTAGATCCGGATAAGGTGCGTGATCTTCCATTATTAGTAAATTGAATTGACATGTTATTGTATTGTTGCACTGTTATGTTAGCACCTGAGCTTTTCTATTTCCGTTGTCAGTACATTAGGTTTACAGCATAAAAAGATTAAAGTTCACGTGTAGAATAATAGATTACCAGATTAGAAGCTACGGACTTGTGCGCCGCAGACAAATCATCGCGTTGTGTGTCGTATTTCTTCAATCTGTCGATATTTCGTATGATTATTCGATATTGACATGCACTATAATTCACATTAATCGTATCGTATTGGTATGAATCAGTTTAGTGTTGGTTCTCCCCACGTCAGTCATGCAGCACGCATTGGCTCGCAGCGTGCTGCATATTCCGGGGAATGGAATTATCATGTATTTATATAAATTATAGAATATTCAACCATTCAAACAAAGTTATTCATTGAATTTATGGGCCGCTTTTAGAAGAAAGCAGCATAGGGCTCAGCGCTCTGCGACACTTCTCGTCCTATTTTCTTCAATGCGTTGCGATGCTTTTACTGAACGGGTGTTGCCCAATTTGTCCGACAGATTTCGTTCCGATTCGCGCCAAAAATAAAGATCAAAACGAAGACAAAACGAAAATTGAGCTAAAAATTTCGCGCCCAACCCGCAGATGCTCCTGAGGGCCGCCAGGCGCGGCAACTCCAAGAAGGTCCTCAAAGCCCTGCGCGCCGGCGCCGACGTCAACGCCGCCCACGGCAAGTTCGAGGAGACCCCCCTGCTGCTCGCCACGCAAATGGGCCACGTGGACCTCGCCAGAATTCTCATAGAAGCTGGTGCAGACCTGGAGTCCGCGGACAGGGACGGTCTCACTCCCTTGACAACGGCCATCTTCATGAGGAACATGAAAATGGTGGAGATGCTTCTGGAAGCCGGAGCAGACCCGAAAGGGGTGTCCGCGAGTTACACATTTGCAGCTGACGACGGGGTGGACGAGGATGAGGATGATGCGTACCAGTTCACGCCGCTGTTTGCCGCCGCGCAAGTGGGAGACGTCAGGATCGTGCAGGCCTTGTTGGCCGCCGGCGCACAGCCAGATCAGAGGGACGAGGGCCAGGACAGCGTGCTCTTTGGAGTCATGTACAACGAGGGCCCGGCCGGAGAGAACGTGGCTCAGGCGCTGCTGGACGCCGGCGCCGATCCCAACGCCCGGGGCGAGAAGAACAGGACGCCGCTGTTCTGGGCCGCGGAGCTGGGAAATTTGGGCGTCGCCGAGGTGCTCCTGGACGCCGGGGCGGACCCGCTGGCCCGGGACGACGACGGCATGACGGCGGCTGACGTCATATGTGCCTGCGAAGATGACGAGGAGGAGTGGTACACGATTTGCCTGCCGGGTGGGTGCCACGTGCAGGGCACCAGAGAGGAGCTGGAGGGCCTGCTGGCGAACGCGGCCGAAATCGAGGTGGAGGTTTTTGACGCAGTTGATGACGTAGCCGATGGCGTTACTGATGGCGTAACTGGTGGTGCGCACGATGGGAAGGCGGAGATGCCCGTGGACCAGATGCCCATGTTCCACGCCATTCGTCGATTCGTCGAGGGCGGGAGCGAAGAAGGGGATAGCGAAGGGCCACGAGAGAAGGAAGGCGCTGCTTTGGTCAAGGCTGAGGAGAACAAGGTGGAGGAGAGTGGGGGCGCTGATGGGCCAGACTGCCGCGTGGGCGGCTGCGGCGTGCCCGGCAAGGGGGACGAGTTGGCGAAGCTGCCAATGGAGGTGAACTCGACCCTGGTTGAAAATTTCGCGGTGTCTTCGGTGCCGGCGGTGGTGCACAATTTGACGGCAGGCCTTGATGCGGCGGCCTCCGGCAACCCCGCCGTGCCGGAGAACGAGCTCCAGGCCTGAAGGGGAGGGTCTCATGCGGTGGGCGGCCAGAGGGTGGAAATCGGCGGAGGCGCCTGGCGGCCATCTGCTTGCTAAATATCTATGTGAGGCTCAGAGAAAGTGATCTTAAGTGTGGAGATGTTTGCTGGCCATTTGCCTGCCAAGTACCCAAGTGAGGCTTGGAGAAGGTGACCTAAGTGTGGCTTAGAGAAAGTGCATTTGCAGTTTTGGGTGTGCAGGCGACCGAATGTTGTGGGCAAGGACCGAGTCGCAATAAAGCCTGCGGGCGAATGTGGGTCGACGCTAGTGAACTTGAATCGGGATTTTAATGGCGGCGTTGAGAGGCGGCGATTGACGTTAGCGAACTTCAATGGGAATAAATGGGGGCGTTGAGCGCACCGGCTGATGAGAATAAGAGCGGAATAGGGAGGGGACCGGATGGGACAGGGCGATGTCCTGGGGTCCTTCCTGAACTGTGGTGTACAATGTATTGATTGACGCGACTGTTGCTACGTGTACTGGAACGGCCTCTGCTGTGAAGTTTGGGCAAGCATGCCGTGCCGGAACGGCGCGCATCTGTGTAGCCATGTGAGGCAGTGTGTGGATGATGCCGACGTCTAGTGCACGTTCTGTCTTGTCAGTGTATTGGCAGCTGAATGGAGTGCGAGCTCCTGTTAAGAATTCAGAAGGCAGTAAAGGCATGAAAGGACAATAGATACATTAAACACTGTGATAAGGGAATACACCATGTCGAAATTGGTACGCTTAGCGTCAATTTGACGCTGGCGGGGGTGGGGGGTGTCTGGTCCAGACCTTTGACGCTAAGATTACGTAATTGGCACAAAATCGACATAAGCCTAGAAGATGCAGAAAACCTACTGAAAATGGCAAAATAAAAACTCTTGAAGTGCCACAAAGTCTCCCGTAAGTGTTCAATCTTTGCAAAAACTCCATATAATATCAAGTGATGGCCATCTAGGCTGCCATTGCCGCTTGCATCCCAGTTTTCGGCCCACCTCAATCACTACAACCTTACCACTTTTCCTTCCTTGAGAACATCATAAAGTTGCTATACACTACAGTTTATGTTGCTGAGTTATCCTGGCTTCGACAGAACGATGTGAAAATTGGCGCTGAGCGTACCAAAACGGACATAATGCCTTCCCAAAGTGGATTAGCAGCTGGCGGGAGTGCGAGCTCCCGTTTAGAACTCAGAAGGCAGCAAAGGGTGTAAAAGGGCAAAGAAGCATTCTCGACACTAATTATTTTGAATGTACTATCAGACACCTTGCCTCGCCTAAAGAGTGAAGGCAACTCATTTGCGACATGCTGCTGCTGCTGCGGCATCCTGGATAGAAGGAAGACAATGAGCTTTGAAGATGGAAGCACAGCTGGCCAGGTCATTAAATGATCAGCACGTTCCAGGGCCCAGGGCCAGACACGCCAATTCGGCAGTTCATATCTCCGTACATTGCATTACCGCATTGCTTATTCTTTTATATTTCATATTTTTATGTTTTAAAACTATATTTTTGGCGTTTTGCATTTTCGAAATGCAAAATTCCAGATGGCCGTTTCCATGGAAGTGCTGGTCCAAGTAAATGCTGCAAAGTACCGAGCCTTATACCATTTCCCCCAAAAGACGGTCCACAGCGCGGATCCCCTTGACGAGTGAGAATCGGTGTCGATGCTGATGAAGCCGCCATGCAATTCACGCTATGCGCGAATTTTACGTCATGCCAGCACCCTTCCGAGAAATGTGGCGCAACCAAGTACTGTTATGAAGTGCTAATCCTTGTACCACATACCAAAAAGATTTGTGCACGTGACCCGACATATCCGCGCCAAAGGAGCGAGAGCTCCTCTGGCCCAGCGCCCGAAGCACAAGCATTTTCTTATTTGGCAATTTTCTTATTTTCTTATTTTGTAATGCAAGTAAAATCCTGCTCACAGCTGCGTTTGCTTCGTTCAAAATGGTTGTGCAAAACTTGACACAATTGCTTCTTGTGCTATTATGACGGCGTTACTGTGTGAAATTTAACACAATCGGAACACAGTTAGTAGACCCTCAATCACAGATGGTCATCAAAGGGCATTACTTCGAACCATTAATTAATGTGCTTTATAAAGCACAATTGAAGTTTTAAATACTGTGTATATCTCGCGCTTGTGTGTCAAAATTTGGACCATCCTTGTTATCATACCCCCGTTTCTGGGACCATTTTCCACCGGTGACGTGCGGCCCTCACACGCGACAGGTTTCACCATGAGCGATCACCACATTCAGGGCAAGTTCCACAGGTCTTGCTCCTAACAGTACTTTAGCAAAAGGCTGCAGTACGTTTCTTGAAAGGGTGCTATTCCTTGGCGCTGGTCTCGCAGCCAGGTGTCTTGAGAACGGAATGCAGTCCCAGCACCGCCAGGATCGCCTTGCGCTCTTCTGACCCCTGCAATGCTTGTCCCCAGAACAGCGCCCCTCCACTGAAGGCCAAAGTACTTTGTCGCGTATTAGTACACGACAATTGTAAGCCGCCAGTTATGGCTGCACTCATGCTGCTTGGGGGGCTGCCGAACGCGCTTTGTGATGTTGACACAATGTTCTCGCCCGGTGGGGTGATCGTGAGTGGCCCGTGCCGCCCACCCACACTCCGCACGGGCGGCATGCACCTCCGGCATGTACTGACAGCGCGTTTTCGTGTTATGTACTGCCAGAGCAGAGGACAAGGCGACTGCATGCAGCTTCAGCATGTACTGGCAGCACATGCTCACGCCCAGTACTGGCGCAACGCACTGACAGGGCCAAAAAAGGCGGCGGCATGAACACCGGCAGCACGAACTCACGGCAAGTACTGAGGACATCCACAACATGTTTCTTGACTGGCTGAATGCTCGTGGGTGGCTCCAGCCGCGCAGCCACGCCCAGCACAGACGGCACGCATGCACGGACAGCATATGCTCTCTCCACGCACTGCGAGGGCATAAAATTACCCCCCGTTCTTGTTTGCTGAGACTCGGTTCTTGTTTTCGGACACCCTAAACCCCAACCTGCTGATCCACGCAGCGGGACTGGCCTTGTCAACAGAACAAGAACCGAACCTCAGTAAACAAGAACGGGGAGTAATACATTCTCCACTGCGAGGCCAGAAAGCAAGTCGCCGGCATGCGCTGTCACCATGCACTGGCGACACACACTCACGCTGTGTACAGACACCGTGCGCTGACAGGCCCAAAACGGGCATAAAATTACCCCCCGTTCTCGTTTGCTGAGATTCGGTTCTTGTTTTCGGACACCCTACACCCCAACTACTGATCTACGCACCGGGACTGGCCTTGTCAGCGGAATAAGGACCGAATCTTAGCAAACAAGAAGGGGGAGTAATATATAGACCACGGCGTGCGGCGTCAGCTCGCGCTGGCGGCACACCCTCGAGCAACAAAGGAAAGAACGACAATCCAAATAATGCAAGACGCAACAGTCCGTCAGCCACCGCGGGCGGCTCGACCCCTTTCCTCTCACAGTTCGGGGCGCCGCCCGCTTCCCGGAAGCCGGCCTCGTACTTTCCCGCCGTGCTTCCCGATCGTGCTGCCCGGAAAAAGTGACGCACTGCGCTTGGCCAGAATGTGTGACGTCATGCCGGGCCGCGTCCCCCGTGTACAAAGGCAGGCGCGTCGCCCCTGCCGCCAGCCGACATCCCGCGACGCCTGGACGCTGCAAGTTTGCGAGCCTGCCGTGAAGCCAGGGCGGGGCCCTTAGACCGCCGTCGCCGCAGGATCCACCACCGGCGATCCCGGGCAAAGGTGAGGGAACGCATGGAATTTGATCGGCGTTTCAAGCATGGGAATGGCGGCAGGGTTAGCATACACCTCGCCACCCCCGCCCCAACCCAAAGCGGACACTAGCCCGCCGTGGAGCCACGGTGGGGTCCCTCGACCGCTGTTCCCTCAGTGACCGCGGGCGCTCACGGGCAAAGTGTGAGGATCGCACGGAATCTGAACTGCGTTTCGAGCGCGGGGCAAGGCGCCGGTGAGGGGCGTCTGCCCGGAAAGCAAAGCGGTGGCTGTACATGCTTCAGGGTCGCCAGCCAACTTGTCGCGCCTCGGCGGGAGCTTGTCTCGCCGTTTGGCTCTTCCCCGCGACCACCGGCACCGATCTCTTGCGCCGCTGATGCGCGCTGTGGCAGTGGGTGTCCTCGCCAGCTCTGCGTGTGTCGATCTGGCGCCCCTCACCGTGCTGCGGCGTGGGACACGTCGGCGGCGGTCGGGAAGATGGATGGCGGCCCGGGGATGCTGAGCTAGGCCCTTCAGGTTGATCCATAGGGGCTGTGCTGTGTCTCAGCGGCCGCTTGGGGGCCCACTCCCAGGAGTACATTGCCGCGACCGCCCTCGCGTTTGTCGATCTCGGACACGCCGGTGTGTGTGCCGGGACGCCGGCCAGAAGCGGCTGCCGAGGGCATCGACTGAAAGTGAAAGTCTCCGAGACTGTGTGTCGAGGCCGCTACCCCTGCCCGCTGTTCCCCGCGTCAGGCTCCTTGATTTTTCGAATTGGCCCAATGGCCGCATTTTGAAGCCGCAGCATGCCGCCCGGCGTTTCTTGTATTAGACCCGTTGACGTTTCGAAAGCCGGTCCAGGCAACAAGAGCCCCCGCTGTCCTGACGTTTAAAAAGTCCGAAGGCTGCGCTTGACGCTACGGCCTCTGCCCTCTGCTCCCTGCGTCAGGCCCCCAGGCGCCTCGAAAATCCCAAAGCCGCGTTTTGAAGCCGCGGCGTCCCACCGTCGTTCGTTGTACGAGGCTCCGACCGCCGGTTCAGGCGACAAGGGCTGGCAGAAGCCCAGCTATCTCGATGTTTCGAAAGCTGTGTATGGCGACATGTTTCGAAAGGCTGCGCTTGAGGCCAAGGCCCCTGCCCTGTATGCCCCGTACCAGGCCCCCCGAGGTTTTGAAAGCCGAAAGAGTGAACAAGAGATATCTGATAACCCGGTAACCTGGGGGAGACCTCCAAACCCATGCACGAAAAGGGTTGCCTTCCGTTCCCCGAACTCTGCTCCCTGACATTTTGAAAACCGGCTCGGGCAACAGGAGACAGCACGGATAGCGTCAGATCTCAGCACGGACAGAACCCGCTAGACAAGCAAAGGTCCCGCTGCCTTGACATGCTTGACCTGCCACCCATGTATGGAATGGGTTGACTAAACCCGGCGCCCATCGCCCAACCCCGGTCTTCCTCGAGCGTCCGGAGGCAGACCCGCCAGCTGCTCTCCAGCCAGCGCCCGCCGCAAGAACGGGGCGCTTCGGACACGGCATTCGCAAAGGGACGAATGAATGACGCCCACACCAGGGCGTCCACGTACCTGCCGGTGGGGGGCAACAAAGACAGGCGAGAAAATCCACACATATCCGAGTTGGCTGGACGCATTCCGGACTGGACAAAAACTTGTCCGCCCACAGCGCGAGCCTCTTGGAAACGTTGGCGACCATCGACCCAACCCGCTGGCCTGCCGCTGAGCGCCTCCCCTCACACTTCAACGTGGAGGTCGGCTGCACACCTCCCCCGGGTGTCACATGCATGTCGGTGACGCTCCGACGCGCTGACGTTCCGACATGTCGAACTTGGCAGGGGCCCGCTAGCTGCGGGCGTTCGTTGGCGGCATGGCTTTATTTTGCCGCCCCACTCAACGCGCTGCCTTGCCGCTGAACGCCTCCCCTCACACTTCACCACGGAGGCCAGGCTCACGTCCGCGTGGGTGCCACATGTCGGTGACGTTCCCATACATCATTCCCACACTTTAAAATTGAGCTGGATTTGTCGCGGTGCTCACGTGGTGTCCTGCATTGCTCTTCCTGCAGAAGCGGGCGTCTGATTGGAATTGGGGCGGCCCGAGGGGGTGGAGCATCTGACGGTCCCTGCCTTGGAGAACAGCTTTCCACCATGGGCATATTTCAGCGAAAAAGCAAGGAGACACTGGCGAGTCAGGGTGAGTGGGGTGGGGTGGGGAGTGCGGGTTGTGAGTGTGCCTATCAATGTACACTGTTAGCAAGGGTGGCGCTGTGTCGCCACGTATGCACGGAGTATATGTACGGTCGTACAGTTCATCATCCATACGATCGTATAAATATTTTCGGTGATAACGGATGCACTCGTATGGCACTGACTGCATGCCCTCCCGGCTGTTGGTCGATCTTTCCTTTTAGCGCCGCCCAAGGAGATAGCAGTGTTGAAAGGTACTCAAACCATTGTTTGTCAGGAATAAAGGCATGGGAGCCCACACAACATTTGTGAATGGAACTGCAAGAAGAAAGTAACATCATATGGAGATCGCATCGCAAAGTGTGGAGCGCAGTGGACACGTCAAGCGCGATACATAGTTTGCGCAGCACACAGCACAAGGCCCCTGATGTTCACTGCAGTTCCATAACAACTCTGAATGGCAGGGGCAGTGGGTTTCTGCATTTGGATAGCTGGTTTAACAGCTCTTAGATTTTTCCATTCCACCCCTCCGTGAGATTGGCGGGCGAACGCAGGGCCATGTCGCCAGCACGTTGCGCGGTGCGAAATGTGGGTATGCAAATTGAAGAACGCTGCTCCGACAGTTCATACCACGCCTTATGCGCGAATGTGCATACTGTTGTGTTCATGTTGGGCTCGACGTGGCCGATGGGACAGCCTCACTCTCTAGGCACTGTGTGAAATTCATATTGCAAATTCCTCGTTCCACATATTTATGCAACTTGCAACAATGCGACGGGCAAATGCAGGCCATGCGCCGCATTCAACCCGCGTTGTACCACCTCGCTTAAAAGCGACTAAACTTGCTTCAAATTGTTAAGGATTCAGATTTCATTGCATAGTTTTAACGAATAGGCTGTCTTAATGTCAATGGTGGTGCACGCAGCCGTGGGCACGCATGCCAACGAGACGATCCACAACTGGGCGGGTGACCTCACCAGCACCCCCGCCAAGGTCGTCACCGTCAAGGACGTCGCGGACATCGTCAACGCCGTTACGAACAGAAAAGCGTACCCCTCTCCCGTGCGGGCCCTGGGGTCCCACCACTCCAACACCAAGGTCCTCCTGGCCGACGGCGGCACGGTTCTGGAGATGCGCGAATTCGACAAGATCTTGGGCCACGATGACGTCAAGATGACCCTGACGGCGCAGGCGGGGGCGCTGTACATTGACACGTCGATGTACCTGCAGGTGGGCTCCGAGGACGGAAATCTTACGTCATTGTGCGGGCCAGATGACGCGATTCGTATTTTTGAGACACGCTCGACATCGCTTAACGTGTGCGAATGGAATTTTCCCATTTGCGAATTACCATGTTAGGCCATGATCGCAGTGGGGCCTTGTCCGCTGTCGCGAAGTTTAGCGCGCAGGTGCGGAGGTGTGGTGGCCAGGTCGATTTGGATGGCTCAGGGATAAGAACACCGGAGCAAAACGCAGAGATCCATTTTAACTGGCTCAAGACACACTAATATCATTGCATTTGCTTAACGCCGACCGCCAGCCTGTGAGGTAAAAAATGTTTTCGTTTTTTCCTGAAATTTTTGCTCTTTTTGTGGGTTCCCTCTTCAGTGGGACGGAAGGGGAGAATTGAAACAGTTGGGTCGCGGCAGGGCCGACTTAAAGCATATGGCATCAATTGCACCAATCGATAGAGGTGGCGGGGTGTCGCCCCAAGGCGTCCGCGGCTTCCACATCTCCAGTCTCGCAACTGTCTCTCTGGAGCGGAGACGCACTTTGCATCTTACATTAATAGAGATTGCCAACATAAAATATCGCCAAGTTTTATCATTCAAAAATGCACAATTTACGCTGCAAAACAAACGCGATAATGCGGAGATATTTGCGTAAGCAACGGCGTCTGCTCACTGCCCCCAATCGCAAGCACAAATAGACACACATGGGAACCATAAGTCCAAAAACTGAGCCCGTATCTCACGAGGTTTCGATGTGCTTGCAGGAGCGGGGTCTCATGCATTACGTGAACACCGAGTTCGGGAGCCTGTCGTCGGGCGCGGCGTCCATGGTGCACACCAAGGATGCCAGCTTCAGGGGGGAGCATGGGCAGGTCAGCTCCTACGTGGTGGGGGTCAAGATGGTCCAGGCCGACGGTGAGCATTGAAGATTTGCCGCGACCTTTGAGATGGCTTGACGTTTTGGTGCGCCTGAGAATCCGTTGCGAATTTTGCGCCAGCGTCTGTCGTGGATGACGGAATACCGTACCGAGACTCAAAGCATTACAAAAGGGGGCTGGCGTGGCGGAATTTCCTACTTGGAGGAGGTTTGCAGTGCTTGCTCACTGATCGGTGCTCGTTGTGTTGATTCGTATATTCATTTTAGCACATTCGAAGTTGGAATCTTCGACATAGCGGGTCTAGTTGTGGTAATGGGCAGCGGCAGTTACAGTGATTTTTCAATGTCTTGCCCTGAAAAGCGATACCAGGGAGGTAGAATGCAAAAAATACGCAGTCGAAGTAAGGCCTTTGGGCGTCTATGTGTTTGCGCCCACTACATGCGCCATCGCTCATTTGAATACTTCCCTTCGGCCACTTTCAGCGCATACAACGCTGTCAGATTTAACTGTTGATTGACCGAAACTCTGCGGGGTGCATTTTTTGTTTATAAATTGTGCATCTACCGCCGGATCAGCATTTTCACTAGCTTATTGCGGCTTCTGAACCGAAAGCATGAAATGAAAGAACCAGCGAATTTCTGGTAGGGAACTCACTGAACAAATTAGAACCTCGGTTTTTAAGCAAGCCCGAAATGTGGACTCTTACCATTCACTTTGTCCCATTAAATTCCCCCGCGCTTAGCTCACACTCCCTCTCTTCTAACCACCGGTGGAAGCCAGGGCTATTGAGACGTTAACTGCGATTCCATTTGGCACTAATTGATGTCGTTGACGTTATTTTGAGGCATCGCAATGGCCACGAAGGCGGCAATTAGTGCCGAAACAGCACCGCAATTGGCATCGAAGAGACAGCGTTTTCTGCCAGTGAAAGAGCGCGACTATTTCGAACCGTAATATAAACATTTGCTGCTGCATCAGCAGCGCAGTCGCATTCAACCCACCGCGCTTTCGCCTCACAGTTCCTCGTTTCCAAACAACATGATTGTTTCAAACAACAACGCAACAAACTTGTTTGCGCCTCAGGCAGCCTCGTGACCATCACCGAGGACGACAACCCGGAGGAGATGCACGCCCTGCGGAGCTCCTACGGCCTCCTGGGCATCGTGTACGAGGTGACGTACAAAATTCGCCCCCTCCAGCTCATGCGCCTCAAGCACAAGAGCTACACCGTGGACCAGTTCCTGGCCAATCTGGACGACATCCGCGCGAGCGAGGACAGCATCATGATCTACTACTTCCCCTACCGCGACAGGCTCACCGTGGAGTTCAGGTCGTACATTAAGGACCCGGGCGCGGACCCCAGCAAGCCTAACATGAAGCTCGCAAAGCACGGCACCACGTGGCAGTGGCGCCTGCGCAATTTCTTCTGGACAACCGCGTATCCCAGGTGATTTCCTCACGGGATTACAGAATTTAACATAGATTAGGTTGAAATATGTTATTGAAATTAAAGAAAATTGAAATAACTATATTGAAATTGAATTATGTTGAAATCTGTTGCATTGAATGCTGCTTCATATTTCGGTGTACATGTGCCACCTCCGTCGTAACGCAAGGTGTGACGGGGACGCCCCAATTGATTGCGCGGACACGGACACAACGCACAGGCAATTTCGAGAAGACACTGTGCTTTTTCGATTCCAGAACATTATATCACGCTGCAGTGTCCAAATTGATTGTCCGGATTCACTGTCCAACTTCACGAACTTTGTGCAACTTTTGCACTGTGCATGTTATCCACGTCGTTCCCTCCAGGTGGGAGGGATGAGCTTCGAAGCGAGCGCCACTGTATGGCAAATGCAATCGAAGGAATTTGAATCCGCGCGTCCAAGGGTTTCTTGGATTCTCGCTCACAATCTGCCGCTTCTCAACAACCCTGTGTTTAGTTTTGCGCCCGCTATCGCAGGGAAGGTGCAAGGCCTGTGCCACGTCATTGTATGGAAACGCGATCTAACAAATTTCCGTGTGTGTGTGTGTGTCCCAGATTTTCTGGATTTCTGGCACACAAACTTCCGCTGCCATACAAAGTGCGCTACTGGCTGGCGGCGAAATTCAACTCCTTCGCCATGTTAAGCATGCTGCTGCTGAAGGGCAGCAGGACGCTGCCGGCCTTGCAAACGAACCTCTACACGGAGGACGTGCCCAAGTCCGCGCGAATTACCTTCTCTCTGTTCTCCTTCGAGGTGGAGGATTACCCGAAGGTGAATTTCTGCGCATGCCGCTGCATTCTGTCGTTCACGCGTTGGGGGAAGCAGCTTTTCGGCTTTCATCTGCGGTTCGCTTTTGGCGAGGCTTGCGCTGGCGCCTGTGGCACAACGGTTGCAATTGTGCTCCGTGAGGTGAACCTTGGCTGAATGTATCCTGAAAAAAATGCTTGACTTGCTGAATCTTCGGCTGCTCGATTCATGTTATTTCGGACCAAACAGGCACAAAGCACGCGCAGCAAATCGCAATTGAGCACCCCACTAACCAGCCGAATGATCGTCTGGCCTGCCAAATGCCTAATTAACGAGAAACGTAACCAACGTACATGAAGTTTGATACATGGAATGGTCGACTGATAGAATAGTTTACTGGTGGAGACAAGAATTGGAAAACCTTACGAGTGAGTGGCGGAAAAGCTGAATGGCTGAATGGCTGAAGACCAAATGGCTGTCCACCCCAGATCCTCCGCGAGTACTACGCCTTCGTCCAGGAATACGCCAAGGCCAACAAGTGGCGCACGACACAGCCGCACGTTGGCTACCGCATCTTCCAGGACAACAGCGCCATACTGTCCCACGCCGCCCACGGCGAGTCCATCAGCATCGACCCCGCCACGGTGGCGGGCCAGCCCGAGTGGGAGCCCTTCCTGGAGGAGTACAACAAGTTCTGCTCCGAGCGGAACGGCACGCCTCTTCTCAACCAGACGCCCGTACTGAAGCCAGAACAGGCGCAGGCGGAAGGCGCGTATGGGAAGGCGCTGCCGGCCTTCAGGGAGGCCAGGAAGGCGGCGGACCCGGAGGGGCGGTTCCTCACGCCGCACCTGCGCGACCTGCTGGATCTGTGAAGGACAGCTACGCGCCCCAAACAACAGCAAAAAAAATTCTCGATTTCAGACAGCCTCAGACTGACTTCGAATTGCGGTTAGTATTTTATTAGAATAGATCTGTGAAAGATGGCTTCTGGCCCGAAAACTGAATTGTGGTTAACATTTTAACAGAGTTCATCTGCGAAGGACGATCTCGTGGCCCCAAAACTGAAAGGGAAAAAACGGCAATCCCAACATGGCGACGCACGACATTCCGGCAGCCTCTGTGGCAGCCCCAACCGCCTTCCTCTCAGTTCCGGGCGCCGCCCACCGCAGGAAACTCCGCGTACTGGGCGTCACAATTTTCTGCCGTACATCCCAGTCTGTACTGCCCCCGGGCCCAGAAAATGTGGTGCACTGCGACGGTTCTGGGCCGTCGCTCTGTAACGTCCGGCTCAAGAACCACAAGGCGGTGTCGCCCAATTGCTGGTTGACCGTTTCCTTGAAGGGCCTCCCACTACACCGGCACCCTCATTGCATTCACTCGAGGAATTGCATCGCCTGTGCGCGGCGTTCCGCGACAAGGATTTGCTTCCACAATCGCCCCACCCACGCAGGCAGATCCCCGATAATCCCCCCCCCACCCCCCACCCCCCCCACCCCACCCCACCCACCCACCCACTCACCCACACAACCACTCGAGCCTCTCGAGCCCCCGCCACAGGAAATCACACCCATCCACAGCCACCGCCCGAATCCCTTGCCCACCAAGCACACAGTTCCTCGCCCCTTCCCAGGCGCTCACACGACACAAAAGTTGTTGAGCACCGGGGGCGTTGAGTACAAGATTCTCTCCGCCGCCCCAGGCTGATGCCAGTGCGCACCAGCCCCTAGGTCAACGGACATCGATTGAGGGACATCGATCGACGCCGTGAATGGCAAATCGCCGTGCACGGGGACCGAATCCCTTGCCCACCAAGCACACAGTTCCTCGCCCCTTCTCAGGCGCTCACCCGACACAAAAGTTGTTGAACACCGGGGGCGTTGAGTACAAGATTCTCTCCGCCGCCCCAGGCTGATGCCAGTGCGCACCAGCCCCTCGGTCAACGGATATCGATTGAGGGACATCGATCGACGCCGTGAATGGCAAATCGCCGTGCACGGGGAATTCCCCTATCCCCCCTTTCACTCCCAAACCCTGCTAGCGTTCAAACCGCGGCCAAGGAAGCACCCCAAAGCGCTGCAGCGAGGCCGCCTGGCCTGGCCAAAAGGAAGGTTCGTGGCGACTGACCGTCGGGTCAAATCGCTGCGAACACAAAATTGGAGCTTGCCTCGTGGGCCGACCTGGGACCAGGAGGCCGGCGAAAGAGACACAAAAAGTGATTCGTATTTCAAGTTAAGTCCATTTTTAAGAAAACAGGGCAAAGCACGGTACTGTGAATGCTGCTCCTTGTGCCGCTTTTCCACATAAGGGTAAAACATGCATCAGATACGATAATGTGGTAAAGAGACGTTGAACACTCGGTAACTACCATTAAGTTTCATAAACGGTTTTGGTGTATCCGTTGTCACGGTCACCTCTGCCCCCCAGGCTTGCTCGGTGTGGTGCAGGGAGAGTCCAATTTGGGGAGCAGGACCCCAAGGACCCTAACACTCCACTGGGGCCCTCAAATGGTGTCGGCAGGGCACTGAGTAATCCTGTCTTGCAGCATTGTCATACCATTCACGCCAAGTTTGCAACACTGTTTTACAAGAATAATGACTAATAACAAAAGATTGAATGCGAATGGCACTGTGGACACATGTTTCGTGCTGCTCTTCTGCCCCTGTGGTTTGGCAGACCCCAGTTGGCGCACCGCCCCACCCCAACCCCCATGCCCCGGGATTTTCACAAGCTCTGCATGTTCATTAGATCGGAATGCTCATAGAATTATCTCGGTAACTAAACCCATTGCAATAGGTTCAAGCAATTGCTTGATTATACTGATGATGACATCGTGACAGGCAGCGCTGATCAGTTCTTGGCAAACTCTCACCCACGGCCGTGCCCAGGCACATCAGACAGATTGGAAAGGATAGATCACACGATACACTCTGTCAGGTATGCGTATTTGACACGGAAGGCAGTTTGACTAGACACATGCTGCACACGCAGTATGGTGTTGGACGCCAGGTACTGTCATGTCAGTTGTAAATGACATAACAGTAATTACTGTCACCAACTCCATCTTGTGTATTCACTATCCACGCCATGTACCAGTTGTAATTACGTTTCGGGCCGCTGCATCCCCACATTTATTAAAATCCAAAAGGTGGGCGAGATGTCGACTTACAAGAACCCATAAAACGTGGCCACGTGAGTGGCCCTTCCAGTGAACTCCTACTGATCAATACCGCAATTATCAGATATTATTAGATCAATACCGCAACATAGCTGACTTCATGGCCTGACGTTTGTGGTGTTAATGGAAAGACAGCAATGCGTTCTCGTTTTCTGCCAGTTGACTGTGTCACTAAAGTCATTCCAAGGTCTGTTGGGGTTTGCTGAGCTTGGGCTGGGTGACATCCTGATGGCAGAGAGATCTCATTGGAGGGCTAAGCTGCATGCATTGTTGCCAGTTTGCAGTTTGCATTGATCAGCATGCTGAGCAGTGACGGCCACAGCGCTTGGCTGAGAAGGGATCATTGCACTGTTCCCTGTTCAGAAGCACAATTTGCCTACTAGGGATGCTACATGGTAAGTAGTTCTCACCCTTCAGAGCAGCAACTGGCACCGGGATCTGAGGGTGAACACCACACTCTCAACCTGACCACGTGTTAGGGACGCAAGGGCCATTATCAGCAGGTCCCATCCTGGAGCGACATGTGTAAATCCAAGATACATTGTGTTGCTCTGCACAGGAAAAGTGATTTGCTGTGCTTTCCCTTGGAAGAAGTCAAGGCTCTTACGGGCATTTCCCCCCTCCTCAACATTGCTCACGCAAGGACATCTGAACGTTATTGGCTGAGCATGGTGCTGGCACCAATAGAAAACGACATTCTGGCGGTGCCAACAAGGGTGCCCTTTGACACTCATCGATGTCATCACAGCTAATTTTATGCCTTGCAATCACTGGGATTGCGCCATTTAGTGCCAAGCTGGCATCGCAGTTGCCATCACAAAAATGGTGCTTTCAGGTAGTATGGGTCGATGAATGTGTCGCGGGGACGTCGCTGTGTGTGCTTTCCGACAGCTGCACTGACACCCTTGGCCCCTTGCATTCCTAGCCCAATGGGGTGACGACGGGGACAACACCCCACACCTCGAAATGTCATTTCAAGCCCTGTGTACACTTGCCCGCAAACCTTGGTGCAGCGATCACCCAACAATCGCATGTGCGTGTGTGGCAATGTGACGACAACACATGTACTGCGTGCTATGTGCTGTGTGCATTGCCATGCACGTGGCAATCCAAGGACGGTACTATAGTACACTGTATTGTCAAATGTGACAGCATGGCTGCTGCTGCATCGGGTCTTGGCTACTGCGACAAGGAGGTGCTGGCCACTAAACTGAGACAAAGACTGTATTATTGCCTCACTGGAATCAACATATTCAGCGAATCTTGATGCCACAAACACGGCTGGCTAATGAGACAACAATGTTGCAATAGGTAAATCTGCTATCCCTCACATTTAACGCAACTAACAAAACGACTGCCACTGTACGGTCCCATTCAATTCACATAATATGTCCCATTTCTGTTGGTGATGAATGACACAGCTTAGTGCTTTACACAAGCAGTGTACGGATTTCTTGGGGCCAGGGAGAAAAAGGTGAGCTTCTGTCTGCCTTCTCAAAATCAGTGCCAACTCATTGGCATCCATCTCCCACACAGCCTGGCCACAGTTCTCCTCTTGAAGCCAAGCTGCTTGATGAGTTAGCTCTCAGCCTGCAGAGGTCACAATGCAAAACAGTCCTTAAACGATGCTGATGGACTTACCACATCAGTTAGGCCAATTTCTCAAATTAACTGAGCTCCATTAACTTGAACAGATCTCAGACTGATTGACATCAGTAAGCAATAAACTAAATTAACTGAATTCAGTCCAGGTAAAATCATGGTAAAACTGGAATCTGCACAATTTTTGCATAGATTAGCATTGAAGAACGAAGCTGGTGGGCACATGAAAACGCTTCACCACCCAGACACCAGATGGGACTGTAATAATTGATGCACGGCTGTAGTTTCATACTGACTGTAGTTTACTGTCAATGAATGATCATGATGGCTACTAGCCCTCTTCAGGCGAACATGTCACAACCCTCAGCGCTGCTGTTGATATTGGTATGCATCACGACAGTTGCTTTCTCTCATATGTCATCCAGTGAGTGTGGCACTCATACCAGTTTAGCCAACAAATGCAGTATAAAAAATTTACAAAATAGAAAGCAAACATGGCAGAGAAGTCAAAACAACTGATTGCTTCACAATTGTGCATTGACTTCCAATCTGGACAAGCTTTAGGGGAAGATGTTGCTTGCATTTTCTTATGAGGTGGCAAATGAGCCACATGACTGTCCAAATTCACTCTGAAGATTGCAATCATCCCATTACTGTAGCACCCATTCATTGAATCTTCCATCAAGAGTCACAGATCCCTAAACAAACTTTCTACCTCTAGCCGAACAACTGACAACTAGAACCAAATTACTAAACAGTTTAGGTCTTGGGCAATAAGTCAGCCAGCACGGTAGTATGTAAAGTCATTAGACAGAATGCCACACAATCATAGAATGCAATATGTTACAAGGCATTCTGCAAGAGCTGTGCAGAATCGTCTTGCGCGGACCCCTCAACTATTTGTTGCTAACTACAGAATGCAATGCACTGCAGCACATTTTGGCAAGCGCTGTGCACAGAATTGTTATGCACAAGTCCCTGGCCTGCTCGTATGCTAACGGCAGAACACAATGCATTGCCAAATATTTTGCAGGTGCCGTGCACAGCACTGCAGAGTACAGAGTCCCTCACCTCCTCGTCTCAACGATCACACATCTGGTGCGCCACACTGCCAGCACATTGGGCGGCGTTGCCTCTGTACTCAGCTAGCTGCTGCACCGCTCCGTCCACTCCAGCAAGGACTGTCGCCAGTCGACCTGCCTCCCTGTCCAGCCATGTCCGGATGGTGGACCGGCTAATCATATCGTTGGCTCGTGCTTCAAGCTGGGCAACCAGGTCAATGCTCCTCTTCAAATCCTGCTGTGTCTACATTCAGCACAATGCTGTGCTTGTGCACCAGTTCTGGGGAGAGCACTGTGAGGGCGGCCTTACAATGAGACAATACTGTAGAATACTCAACCCTTCCACATCAGAAACTTTCACCGTTACCCTTTTTGTTGCACATTTTGTTTTTCAGAGCGCTGTTTTATTTTATTTTATGTTGCTCCACACAGAAAAGGAAAGATTTGGATTAGCAATTATATCACTTTCTTCGCCAAAAAGGGCCAAGCATTACTTTACTATGCGGTTCAAAAACCTATGGTACAATGAGAAACCATCATCACGGCAATACTGTAACCTACATTTGACCGTACAGTGTTGTTGGTGCATGTGTAACCAATTCCTGGATCGGGCTTGCGCTATCTCACCCTGCCACAACAGTAAGGTATTATTCCATTGTATTTGTCAAATACACGTTAAAACAAGAGCATAGTAGTATGGTGTTGATCTTGACCCCTGCGGTCAGCACCGGCACTGTGGACAGCACAGGGAGCAGTTCAGCAAGATGCTCAGTATGGTAGTATGGTAGGTAGTATGGTGGGTGTAATGATCCCTGTTTGAATACTGTGCACAATGGGATTGCAAGACAGCAGGGCTGATTTGGGATGTGGCTGCATGGCACATTGTACTTTGCTGCATTGCAGTAGATGCTGGTACAGCAGTGAAATAATGCTGCAATTTACTTGGCTGTGGCAGAAGTCTGACATCAGTGTGCAACAGACTACAGCGATACAGCACTGTCCTGGAAGGAAAGTCCCTGCACCAAATCAATACTGCAAAATGCCAAAATGCTAACACCGCAAGCGGCACTGCCATACCTGTGCATGGTCTTGCCTCTCCTCAGCTAGTTCTGACTGAAGCCTCCCCACAGTTTCCTCCAGCTGGGATATCAGCTTCTGGGCAGCTTCCATGTCCATCTGCCATGGACACACAACACATTGTTGGACAACACTTCCAATAAGTTGTCCTGGTTGTGACAGGAACTGATGCAATACCTGTGTACTGATGTTGTATTTCAGGAACCCAGGACAAGGAACAGGTGCGTTTCCACCACCGAGCATAAAAATTCAATACCTCTTATGGCATTTATTGGATGCTTTGTTCATAAATCACTCAACACAGGGCCTAACCCCTTCTCTTGATAATGCCCCACCACTTTCTTCTGAACTGATTTGCGTCCTCTTGTTCTGGCAGACTGCCGCTTGTTGACTTGGCCTGCTTCTGAAGGCACTTGCTGGGCTTGTGTGCGCCTGGTGCTGCGATTCGCACCTCTGTTGCATTCCTTCAGAATGCTATCATCAACCTCTGGTGTTGTGCCTCCCTTCTGTGGCCATGGCATGATGGATTAGTTCCAGGGAACTCTGGACACTGTTGCTGCTTGTGGCACAAGAGGGCCAGTGAACTTAACGATTTTACAATGTTGCACTCTACACCATCAGCTCACCTACAGTCCAGAATCTTATTTTGGGGAAAAGTTGTGTGAGGGTCAGCTCCTTACGTCACTTCTCCTATACATTTCCTGACAAGTGCACAACTATGTGACAGACACCATTCAAATTCCTCTTTTCAGCTTCCCATTATCAGCAAATATGCTGTCTGCCATTGCAATCCCTTCCTGTACATTCTCAAAAAGACTGGACAATTTTCTGCGTTGCCACAGATAGAGTTGTAACAGCTGTGGTAGCATCGGTGGAGGCAATGGTAGTGAATGCAACAGTAAGGGTAATAGTTGTGAAAGTAGCAATTGCCAAAGTGTTGAAGGAACAAAAGGGAACGTAAAATTTGTGGCAACAGCCCATCCAGCAAGTTCTTTTGTCTGTGAAGCTGATGCAGAGGCTGTCAGTGGTTGGGCTGCATGTAAGCTAGCAAAATTTCTGACGGAAACCAGTGGAGGAGAAAGTCACACTAACAGCAGCAGAATTCTCCTTGTCCAATATGTTTTCATTTTTTAAAACAGGCAGATTGAGGCATTCAGTGAACAATAATGGGCAGATGAATGCAGACGAACAGCAAGGTTCACACAGCCACCAGCTTGCCTGTCATCGCTTGAATGGTGGTGCAAAGGGATTCAATTCGGATGGACAACCAGATGCAAACCAAGGAGGAAATCATAAAAGCAGCAATAAGTTGTGGATCTTGAGGCCCCTATTCTGAGGAGAAGCTTCTTTGCTTCAGCAGTCTGTGCACTTTCTTTCAGAGTGTAGAAGAGTACTCAGTTTTTAGCTACAGAGAGGGGCCAGACCATTTAACCACAAACACTCCAGACAAACAACCCAGGACAATGCTCGATGCAATGTACACTTCTGTTTGCATAGATCCCTGGGCCTTGTGTACAACTCAATGGGCGCCTACAAGGGCGATGGATGGACGATGGCAGCTATGCCGCACAGAACAATTCAAGGGATTGGCTGGCACTACCCTCTCAAGCCCCATGCCTCGGGCGTTTGAGTACCTTGGCAGCCTCCCATGCTGCAACACCCACCTCTTGTTCTTGGTCATCTACCTCAGGCTCTTGTCCACGGGCCTGGGAAACAGATTTGCGAGCAGACCGCCTGCCACGACGCCTCACAGTCGGGGTGATTTGCTGACTGGTCGCCTCATTGCCTCCTGGCCCTCCAGTCTCCTTCGTGACCACTGATTGGTCTTTTGTAGTGCCATCATCCTCGTCCAATGGATCGCCTGCGAATGAACATTCCACCACATATCGACTCAAAACATCAGCAACGCACCAGCAGGAGACAAGGACAGCAAAAAGTTGAAGGTTGGAAGCCACCACCGGAGGATGTTTGTGCTAGGGGGCATACTCTACAGCGATCACTGGTGCTTTGTGGGCATGACAATCGACTTGCTTTGTGAGAATCGGGGCAGGGTGTTTAGAAAACTGGAAGCATGCCAGAGAGAATTTCCCCCCCTCCCTCCCAAAAAGCAAAGGTGCATTGAGCACTCCAAGTCATGGCCGCGCTTCAAGGTTCTGATCAAGTCCTGTTGTTCGAATGCTGCTTTCTTTCTTTTCTTTTTCAGGAGGCAATTTAGGGAAACAGCCAATTTCCAGGAAGAGCCCATCCATAGAGGCTGGGCAATCCTGGTCTGGGTAAACTCCTTCGTTAAAAGTAATTCCTTCCTTCGATTTCCTTTGTGGAAATTTGCGTTTGAACAACAAAGTGGGGCCCGTGCACCGTGCCAGCAATGACAGCCTGGTTTGCCACTGGTGGCTGGGTGGGTGAAGGTGGCAGCATGTTTGACCATCCCCCTAAGGTCCCTGTCCCCCTAAGGTCGATGCCTGGCAGGTTTGCCCCCTGCCCACCCCATTCGCTGCACCAGGCTCAGGACTCCAATCACGTAGCAATGCCTGACCATACAGGTGGATGGCAAACGAATGAATTACTGCTTGCATGTGTGCATGCCCATCATCCCCTACGAGGTGCCAAGGCACTGCTTTGCCTTGTCGAAGGCAACTTCAACCAAAACGCATTTCAGCTGCGACCCCTCAGGTGAGCCACCCAGAGGACCCATCCCCCAAGTCACTGGCCGTTGGAATGAAAAGCCAATTTTCTTGGAAGCCACTCCTCGAGGCCTCACGTCTCAAGCACCCTAATCAAGAATGGCCGCTCGCGTTGCCGATCCCAATACCCGGCGGCCCTTTCTTGCCCAATTCGCCAATTCGGTTGCCGGGTCCCCCCGCCACCACCGCCGCCCTGCGCCGCCCGCCACACCCCACAAGCACGACGGACAGAAGCCCGCCCGGGGATCGAGAACGATCGTATGGGGCACCGATCAGCAAAACTGACTGGATCGCTCCACCAAGCTCACATGCCCACGCCAAGCGAAATTGACGTCGCCTCCGCGCAGCACTCTGCCAGGCGGGGGGCAACCAATTCGGGACCCCCTATTCGGTTGGGAATCATCGAAGCGGCATCGATGGGCAAAACTCCAGGGTTATACCCATCGAAACCCCATCTGCGCGCCAAGTGGAATCAACACTACGTCGAGCACTTCCACCCCCACCCCTGGTGCTCCGCCGCGCAGCGCTCTGCCAGGTGGACAGACAAACCCACTCGAACGTTGAAGATCATCGAGGACCATCGACCCGGAAAAGCTACCGGTGTTGCTCCACCAAATCCAAATTTTCCCCCCAAAGCGACATCAAAACCTCCCCAAGCACTGCCACCCCACTGCATCGCTCTCAGCCGCGCAGTGCTCTGGAAACTGGGCCTGGAGCAAGCCCCATCGGTGGCGTCCCCACCTTCAATCGATTTGATAATTTCGACCGGAGCACCGCCTCGGCTACCCGCAGCGTCCATTCTGCGGGCCACGGCCGCGACGACCGTACCGCACAAGTTCTCTCTCGCCGCGGTCGCCCCGGCGAAAAACGCGGTCCCCGATTTCGCCAAGCGCGCCGGCCCCACGAGCGAGGCATCTTTCGCGTTCGCCGAAGGCCGTCCGACAGCACAACCGCCCGGCGGCCACCCTGCCGCCGACAACCCACTCTTCCCTCCACTCCCCGCGGCCAGCCATGCTCGATGCGAATAAAGCGCATATCGGAACCAATTGGGCCAGGGGTGCCGGACACAACAGCCAAGCAATCTCCGCATTCGCCGAAAAGCGCCCGATGGCACAAACCCCCCAGTGGCCGTTGTTCACTGGGCAGTCGCACACGCCAGCCCACCGCCGAACGAACGAAAGAACGCTTCCCTCGAGCGACAACGACCAGCAGTCGGTTGTTTCGGAGCCATCCCCACGATCGCGCCGGCCACAGAAGCCACGCGCGCCTTCCGACGTGCCCGGAATCATCGCTCGATCGATCAATGGAGGGACCGGGGGGTGGGGGGTTCAGATTTGTTGCAAAGAGAGAAGGCAACAGGTCCCTACAAGGGCAACCCATCCTGAGCAAGAAGGGGTACGTGACGGCCCATGATGGCGGCTCTCTGCATCACAGCAGCTCCGCAGGGCTGGCTGTTGCACACCACAGCTGTCGTGCTCCACGGCGATCGCTGAATCCACAGAAGATGGGGCGCCGGCAGCATGCTTGCCTACAGGATCTTACCTGTCCTGGCGGCCGCCCTGCCGCCGGCCCTCCCCCGCGTCCTCTTGGTCGGCTGGCGCTCCGGCGTGGCCTCCGCCCCACCGCGCTTCCTGGTGCTCCGCAGCGTCACCATGCCGCGCGTCTCGAAAGGATTCCCGCACGGTTTGCGGAACAGGGGGATGAGGAGGGGCAAAATGGGCGGGGCGATCGGCCCCAGGGTTTCTGGCAGGGCACCACGATTCTGGCATTCCCCATTTTGAATATTGGTCGGGTCGCCGTCTTGTGATGATGTCTTGCGATTTAGATATTGATGACCGCACACGGGGTTCGTTTCCTCGATGGAATAGCAACCAAAAGTACGAGAAGTGGGGGTGGGGAAAGGGAACAAAAGGGCGGGGCGATCGGCCGCGGTGTTTGTGGCAGGGCGCCGCGATTCTGGCATTTCGCATTTTGAATATCAGTCCCGTTGATACGGCATTAATCGAGACAATTACATTAACGCATTAACTTGTATTTATGGGGCTCAGCCCCCCATGGGTCAGTCGTCTCCGCCGCAGCCCGTTGCCATGTGGTCAGGCCTGCAGGACCCCCTCGGGGGCTGCCAACCCTCGATCCTACCATACTTCATCACGGTCACCGTCTTGTGATGCAGATAAGATATCCGAGGTTCGTTTTCTCGATGGAAAAGCAATGGAAGGGCCGAATTGGAACTGTTCCGCCACTATGCTTTCGTTGACAGTATCTGATCCTTGCAGGTGCATGACCCAACGGCGTTTGTCACTGGGCGTCGAGTTGGTTGGCCATGGATTCGCACCTAGAATTGCACCGGCCTCCAGGACGCCCGGCCCAGCTCACCCAACATGTGTGCATGGCGGGATAGGAGGTGTGTGGGGT